GAGCTTTATCATAGTGAAATGCTGTCAGCTTCAACATGGTCTCCAAAAGCTTCACTGTCAGACTCTTTACTTTGGATATTTGACACTAAAATCATAGCCATGTTGTCAGCTAGCGGCAGTGTAGCTTCACTGAACTGAACGGGATCTTTGCCAACTGACAGCAGTTAAAGAGAGAGCCTCCTGTGTTAAAAAAAAAAAAAAAAATTAAAAAAAAATCTATTTTATGAAGACAGGGAAGTAAAGGAATTAGATGTTCTCAAACTGTGTCCTGTGATCACACGCTAAAGGATCTTGGAAAGCTCTGCTTTAGCTTTGTGTTGCTTCGACTTCCAGCTGAATAAACATATCTAATACTTCCCTAAAATGTGCATTTTAGTGTAGGTAACTACAAAGAGAGAGCCTCTGTGGTCCTTGTGAGCTAACCAGCAGAGTATTTGGGAAGGAAAATTGTGTCTCACCAATCTCCTGTAATTCTTGTGACGTTGTAGAGCAGAGGATGAAGCTGAGCCAGCTAAAATAATTTTCTAAAGGTGTTTGACAGGGTCCTTTATGAGATGCTGCAAACATTTCTTAAATCATCATATGTGGAGAGACAAAATATTATGAAACAAAAATTGACTAGGTGAGCACAAGCAAAGAGGAGGATTAAACAGTTTTCTTAATGGCCCGATGATAAGTTCTCTTTTTGGCAGCAAATGAACAGCAAGATAATACATGTGGCTAGACTTCAAATCTAGATTTTACTGGTCTCTCTACTATGTATTAAATAGAATTTTTCTGAATGAGTTCAACCATTCCTGGTATCATGGTGCCACACAGCAAGATTGATGGCACTAGATAAATAGCATTGCCTTAAGTCTAGAATGAATATTATTATTTACCTCTGCATGGTACTTTTCCTGAAAAATTACCTACAAGCTAGGGTTAAAAGCCCCAAAGAAAACCCTGCCAAGCAGTCATTAATCCACAAGAAATGTCTTGTTACTTAATTGTTGCTGCGGAAACTGAATTTGGAGCAAGGATACACAATACTATAGATTTCTTTATTTGAAGGTTTTCCCCTTCAGTAAGAAGAAAAGCCAAGTTGGCACACTGACTAAGATTAACTAGGCTTGGGCCTTTATAGCTTGTAAAACTGGACCTTTATATATACCTGCTGAAAACTGATTTACCACAGGTGGAGGCAAGTTGTAGGGTTGTAGAGTTACAATACACGTGTGAATGAGACGTGCCATCACCACCACAAAGATGACGGTGTGAAACAAAATCCCTGTAATCCTCACAAAGAGAAAGGTAGGGGGATGGGTTAAAAAAGAGGGGTTTGCAGAGCCACCTGTCAGTCTTCAGCAGGCGGAGGATGGCAGTCATCGTCATCTCAAAGAAGCTGTCCTGCAGTTGGGCATATGTGCTTATCCACATGTATTTTTAAGCAGTCTAGTTAGGGCTCTCTTCTTTGATCTAGAAATATTTATCTTCCCCGCTTCTGACCCCAAATGGCTTCTCAGTGCTTCCTTTAATTTACATTGTTCAGGACTTTGAGGTTAAACTTAATGAAGTTTGGAGAAAGATCTGACTTGGTTTCGAATTAGACTATTATCTTGTAGTGGCTGGAGCATTTTCTGGTGCCAGCTGTTTCAGACATATTTTTTTGTCTGATTTATTCTAAAAAAAAGACAAACCACCAACATCAAACAAAAACAAGCAACAAACAAAAAAAAAAAAACAACCAAAAATCCCTGTTTTTTTCTCTTTATAATTTCAAGAAACTTCTGCGTCAATTAATGTTCTAACACCAATTTGAAGGTGCTGTGGATCTTAAGTACATTCAAATTTCCATCAGTCCATTTGAAACATTATTTTCAACCCAGTGGATGCCTTGTGCCAATAATGCCAATACCAAACTCCGAAAACAGTCAAGTTAGCTGAGCAGAAAAATTGTGCATGAAAGCTTATTTTAACAATAAAAGTTGAGTCCTTTCTATTTAGTTAGATAGATAGTTGCCTTTTTGGCTTACATTTTCCAACATTTCACACCATGTACTAAAAAAAAAATCTGATATATTCATATGTCACCACTCATACTTTTAATCTGTCTCAAATATCTTCAGATAGAGTCTAAAATCACAAGATTTGGTACACAGGATTTGTTTCGGCTTGACCTTGCAAAGTGTTGGCACTTCCTGGACACCTAAATCCTTTCTCCTGATTTTTGATGTTCTGTTCTTGGCAGCCGGAAGGAGACTGTGCACATGGTTTAATATTTATCTTTTGAAAAAATTTATAATGTTTAAATCAGCACTCCTCAGTGGTGACAACCTATAGTTTTCTGATTTTTTTTTTCCTAATTTGATTTCTTGTTATAGTTTTCTAAATTCCGAATGGTAGTGATAATTATACCATCAGATCACGACTCAAAATACTGTTCTGGTAAATTCCCATTCAGATATTCGTGGTAATGTCAATTATTAACCCTGGCAAGCATCAGTGGTCTTACTAAGTATTTGTGTCAGAAAGGCTTACAAACAATTTGAATTATGTGGAAAGCTTTATTATATACTAGAACTCAAAGTAAAAAGGGGGAAGAGAAGATGCTGAAAAGAGAAAAAAAAAAAAGACCATTAAGGGCATTTTACATTGAAGTGTGGATGAGAAATCATCTTGGGGAAAAGAGAAATGAAACATTTTGAGATGTCAAAAAAAAAGGTCACCCTTATTTTTAATCAGCCCTCTGGTCCTTTCCCTGGATTAAGGCGTCATTGCCAGACTTGGGCAGGCAAGGCAGGAGGGAAAAGCTCTGCTGCTGTAACAGATTGGTTTCTGCATAGCATATAGCAGACTTCTCAAGAAGATGGTTCTCTGAAGGTGACAGTGAGGGTCAGCCACTGTATAACCTGGAGGAACTGCTTCTTGGGCAAATGGAAATCAGAAGTACTGAACAGCGTATTTCACAAGCAGGATTAACTTTAAGTCAAAGCCACCAGACGTTACAAACCTAGCTGCTCCAGTTCTTCAGTTAACAGGGATAATGTGCAAAGTATTGCCCTTCAGAAGAAAGGGGCACGTAGCTCATTCCCATGTGCACTCTTGGGCTCAGCACCTCAATTTGTAGGGAAAATCACTTTGTGTGGAAGTGGGGTTTTACCAGTGGAAACACCTGAAGGCTACATGTGCAACGTCCCATTTTCTAGGAAGTAAATGGTCCTGTAAGGGAAAAGCAGAGAAAAGCAGGTGATAAAGCAATACTTTTTTTAGATCACAGCCTTAGGATTAAATGTCTACATTGCAAATCTCCTTTTCATCAATTTATTGTCATAACCCTTTACTGCTGGAATATTTCTTAATACGTAATTCCTTAATCTTTTGAAAAACAATAGCATGTGTGCCAGGTACTTGAAGCAAAAAGCAATCTGATTGCCTGTGCTTTTTTGTTGCCTGAGTCTAAAAAACTTACTCTATATTAAAAATTGCTGCATACTGCTATTGCTGGCACTTATCAGATAAGGAAGTCATAAGATGAACAATCTGCCTCAAAGAACTGAAAAGCAAAGCAATTCTGATACTGAAACTGCAAACCAGATGATGCTCTGATTAGAGGCATGCACATAGATTAGAGACATATAATAAATCATGTAACTTTTTAGCCTCAAATAAAATAAAAGAATGCAGTTTTTATTAGGAAATAAAATGTTTATCAAGAATGCTTTAAAGGTGACATTTATTACTAATAAACTGTGTTGAAAGGGCTGATCCTTTCATTGGCAGATGATCCTTTCTCTGGCAGAGCAGCCGGAGACTTCCCTCTATGTAAACAATATCCCAGCACAGTCTGTGCTGGGTCAGGAACCATTTCCGTCAGCACTTATGAAGGGTGGTCAAGGGACTCACCTGCACCTTTTTTCAAGCAATGAATGAGTCATGGAAATATAACTCCAGTATTATTTTGGGACTGATCGTGGATCTCAGGACAACTTCTTGGAATATCACTGAGAAACAATTCCATAGCTAGCTAATGTATCAAACTCCCGCAAAGCATCTGCCAGGCAAACTCTTGATAGTGTCAGCAAGCCCCCTGCTCAGGCAGGATGCTATTTGCTCTTCAACTCTTGACTCTTCAGGGTTGTCACGCTCCACGCTGCTTCTCATATTAATTGTGTTAAGTTACTGTGTACCGAATATTGTGGCTGTTGGTGCTGAACATGCCAAAAAGCACGTCCATCCTTTAACAGCCTGCACTACAGAGGAATATGAAGCCTCCCTCTTAACAAACTTCTTGTCTGAAGGGTTTTATTTAACACCTTCCTAAATGCAGCCTTGCTTTGGAGACCAACTTGTTCAGGCTTGAATTATAACAGTACTGAGGATGTTCCTACCTGCTGCCTGAAGCTGTTTCAAGGATGACTGCATATAAGTCGGGTCAAACTACATATGTCTCTTAGCTATTAAAAAATGTCCTTCTAAACAACACAGGGAGGGTGTCCTGCAAGGCACAGACAAATTGCAGTTAGGAACTCATTCAACTCCTTTACAGTGATAAAGGCAATTTTAGGAATTAACCTTTGAGTAAATGTTTATCATTCTGACCTTGTCTATGAAATCTATTTTGTGATTAGTCCATAGCGTGTAACCCATTACTTGATCACAAACTGAAATTTCTTTTCCCATACTATAAAAAAAATTTCTTCTGTTAGTTTCACCATCCAGAACACATTGCATGATTAAAATATGGTTGCAGATTGTCAGAGAAATCAAACTTCTTGCATTTAAGATGCATTAACTATTCAGGAAAACGAAATGGTGCTTAAGAACTGCTCTCAAGAGTCTGTGAGAAAAATCAATGTAGCTCATGTATTGTCTAGATTATATGTAAACTGGGCATTTCCTAGAAGCTGCAGTAACTTAAATATTCCACTACCCAGGCACTCTAGCTGCTGATACACTATCATTGTCTTCCATTCCATTGACTTTCTAAACACATTTTGCTGTACGATATTGTTTTTCAGGAGATGACCCATTCATGGCCTGCTCCACTGTCAGCTATTCACACACCAGGAAAGGCAGAACAAAGCAAATTTTCCTTCCCAAACAAGGTAAGCCATGCCACATTACATAGAACCATGCCTCCTTCCCCTCAAAATATGCCCTAAATGAGCCCTGATTAAGCATGTAGGGTCTCTGGGCTGAGCTAGATACCGTGTTGATTGACCTTCTCCATGTGTATGCCATATGTGTGCCAGTATCCCCTGCTTTTCCTAATTGCAACCTCTGCAGAGCTACATGATCTTGTTTGCACATCTTCTGGCAGCAGCACTGATGCTGGTGTGTGGATCACAGATTCCTCACTGCAAGACAAAGATGCACATGTCCCTAGTGAGGTGTCCAGAAGCGGTGTTTTCTGCAGGCATCTGCTGAAGCTCCTGACTGATATACCTCAGGGTGCATACAGCTGCTGCAGGAAAAAAAGCTCCTGCTTGCATCCATTGCTCCTGCTTTTTATAGCTTCACTAGCCAAGATTTTTGTTGAAACCACTGAGGTCTGAGGTGGGCTTTACTAATACACTGGCTTCTGCAGTCAGAGGCTGAGGAGTGGACATACATCCTTTGCCACCAACCTGGCTTCAAGGGCAGCATTGCTACAGAGGCAGGCAGCCCAGTGCCATGATTCCCAGACGGGCCGCAGAAGTATTTGCCAGGGAAGTATTTGGTTCCACAATGGACCAAGGCCCTGCTGGTGGTCCCTTGAAACCAGCTACACTGTTGTACGTGTATCCCAGGGAGGATGCAGCATGGCATGGTAAAGCTCATTGGCACACGGTTGGGGAAACCACAGTATTTATACTTGGTGAGTAAGGAGGGAATGAAATCAGCTATCCCATGAAGAGCCAATAAAAATTTCATATTGTATCACCATATACTGTTTGTATGCCACAAGCTCCACTATATTTCATTTATTTCATATAGTTCATAAGTTGAAGCTTGAAATAAGATATTGATGCTGTTTGTAGCCTTTCTCCTGTAAAAGCAAGTTCCTTTGGTAACTTTTAAGTCCATTCTACAAAATTTAGTGCAGGGAATAATTACAACCACGAAGCCAAGAAACCGTCAAGGTTTGCCTACACTAAAACAGCTTTTCCGTGGATGAGGGTGTCAGCATTTTGAAATACCAGGGGCGTAAACCAAAACATCTCTGGCATGTTATGAAAGAAAAAGAAGGAAATAACTGACTGTCTATTTGCGCACTAAAGGCAGACAGCTGATTGAAGATGGTAGGTGAGCTAGAGGCTTGTTATGTTAGAGTAAGTCTGGTAGGAGATAGATTGATGGATCAGCAGTTTACAGTAAAGTGAAGTACTCGGATATGGATGGCAAAACCGAAGTGGTGCTTGCAGCTTTGACATTTCTGCCATAATTATCACCACACAATGTGCTTACGTGGCATGAGTGCAAATGTGAGTGGTCAAGGTGTGCGCCCATCAGTGTATCTTTGTGGCTGTCATGAATGTACTTCCCCTCACCTAAATGTATTGTGATAAATATAGGAATAGGAGAACCACAGACCATAGGGCAAAGATATGTGGATAATGGTCTCATCTTCTCTGCCTGTTCATCCATCTCTCTGGGAAATATGTTAATAGTTTCAACTGCAGGGCCATTTCAGAATTCCATCATGCATTTTTAAAGAGCCTTTTCTAGGTGGTTTCCTTTTCTCTTACCAGAGTAGATTTGCCATTTTATTTAAGTTTAGGATGAACAAGATTTCGTTGCATAATATATGAGCATACTTTTGTACATAAAATAACATCATAACTTTATTGTGGCCTGGGTGGTCTACATGGTCATAAATTAGAGTGCTTTGTGTGAAATGGGGAAGAAGTACCTAACAAAACTCATCAGAGTTCTGAAAAAAATCCTGCATCACTGGCTATAGGCCATGTTAATTTTAAATGGGACCTCTATTTTAAACTATTTTAGAATAGTTAAGAGCTGCTTCTGTGGCTTAGTCTGAATCTGTACAGTTGCAGACATTAGAAGGCATCTGCTTTTAAGGTCCATAATGCAAAGACAGGTTTCCTAGTTTTTCAAATGTTTTTGAAACATTCATAACCTACCTATTGCTTTTCACAAAATGTGGTGTAAAATCATTATTGGGTCTCATAGGGAATGTCTCCATAACTTTTAGAAAGCTTATCCACAGGTAAGCTATGTAGCTGTCCCACCTTGTTAAAACCTAAGGACTACACCAAACTGTTGTGGATCACACATTGTTCAGATAAATGGGCCTGTCAGTTAAGCAGTGGCCAAGGACAGCAAAGAGGCTAAAAGGCTAAATTCAGGGCATCTACTTCATCTCTTAGTTCCAAGCGATGCATGATACTGTGAATTCAATTTCAGCGTTGAGAGATCAGTTCAGTTAATTTGCAATGACTCTTCCAGCCAGAGAAGCAAGTAGGCTGCAATCCTTTTTAACAGAAGACAGTTTCCAAGTGTAAAGATACTCATCATTTTGGGAACAAGAAAGAGAGCAGCTTGTAAGACTCCTGCTCTGTTGCAAGGATGCAAATCATCCTTACTTTTCTGCTTATGAAAACTGATTGTCAGCATCATTAGTTCCCATACATGCCACACTGCTTTTAACCCGCAACTCAAGTAATTAGTGATCTGACAGCTTGAAACTTGAAATTTATTAATTAGGCTATTAAAGTTGCAAAGACCACAGCAACTACAGCTATACTGGTTTTAAAATCAGTCTAGTAATAAAAGCTAAATAACTTAGGTTTATATTTCACAAGTAGAACAGAACTGCATATTTGAAACTGCGTGTGTGGATGTGTCCATCTAAATAAGTATATGCTTGGTGGATGAGGGGGATATATGTGCATATGCTGTACCTGTATGTAAAATCAAACCTCATTAACATGGGAGATCTGCATTAATGCACAAAAATGGAAGGAAAGTCTCTGTCAGGTTTGACGCAGTACCCAGTAGGCAGTACCCAGTAGGTTTCCCAGCACAGTGCTGCTGGGAGAGCACATTTAGGGAACTGTCCTTCATGTGATAGAGGGCATAAAGTTACATTTTCTTTCTCTGTGGAATTAATTTGTGCTCTTGAATTTAGTGGGAAGGGGCAATGACAGTCTCTTTATTTCTTGTTTTTCAAAGCTTAAGGATAATTGAATCAGTGTGTGATGTGACAGGCTGTGTATGCTTTCCTTTCTCCCATCTCTGTCACACTTTGTTACTTACAAATGATCAGGCATTTTTTGATTGTAATTTTATTAAAAACATCTTAATAAATAAACTTTAAATGAATAATTAAATTTGGTAAATAAGAGCTCACATGATGCTTGTGTCAATGAGCTTTCATGTGCAGGCATTAATTCTTAGCCCTCATGCAGGAAAAGAATGTTTTTAATTCTGCTGCTTGATTTTCCCTTTGTCTTCATTTTTACTGTAATTTCATGTCTTGAAAGTTTGTTCAGGTGTTTGATTTCTAGTTATGTGTATGTGATATTATGGGATCAGCTATCATTTTGTTATTTGAGAATTAATTTATCCACTCCAGGAGAAGTGGTGTCTTGTCACAAAACTATTGAGTGATTATTCTCAGCTGAAGCAAAGTTATTGTAGTGATGTTATTCTTTATGTGCTCAATTCATTTACTTTTTCCTTTCTTACTGATTTTAACAAGCTGGAACAAATACAGTAGACAATAATCTCCAGAAGTGAAGTCTTCTCCTTTGTTTTTTAAGTTACTTTAAGTCGTACTTTTTCTACCTCAGTGGGAGCACTCTCTATTTACTATGATATTTTTGTATTAGCCTTTGTTATTAAGAATAATATGTTGAGAATCAAGACACTTATTTTAAGGAATCTGTTAAAATGAAAAGAGAAAATGTCATAGCTCATATGCATTGCTGTTGTCAAATTTGAGACTACGCAGAGTCAATGCCAGAGGTAAGATACTGCGCTAGGCAGTTAAAGGGGAGGGTGCATTCTTCCTGAGGTTGATGAAAATGTAAAAGAGTGAGCAAGATCCTTGTTTAGCAGTTTCAAACACATTTACAAACCCGAGGGTATTTCCATCAAAATGATTGTATTCCCCCAAATTTCTCTAGGCACATAAATTCACTATTCTGGAGACTGAACATGCTCTAATAGCCTACTTTCATTGGCAGCATGATTGGCTACTAGAATAGCATTTAAATTCAAGAGTACGTGTCACTGCATCACCACGGCAAGCTGATCCTGACTTCTTAAGATTATATTCAGTCACCAGAAAAAAAACAGACTTTAATATCCCTTCATCAGCAGCATTCATAAAATGCTGAGGCAATTTGTCAAAAGTAGAGAATTTCAAATTATTGGCAAATTATTATTGGCGTGTGAAACACTGTACAGATCTTTTCATACTCCAGTTGAAAATAGAAATTCGTAGGGCTTGACCAAAAATTTGATGCCTCGCATTTCAGGCGCGCAAGATGGCAGTGAATTGCAGATGTGTATTATAGCATAAAAATTACAGATCAAAGCTATGCAGTCTGGAGAGCTTTGAGTTCAGACCAAATGGTGCAGATTGAGGGGATTTGGCTAGACAAGCCCTTGAAACACCCAGTGCCTGTGGTCCAGCCAACTTCCATTTAGAGCTGCAAAGAAACTCTTGGGGTCCCAAACCCCTGTGACATGTTTCTGAGTGACTCAGCAGCAAAATCCCAGCTCAGCCAAGCCAGAGCATCCTTGAGCTCTCTGGGGACTTTCCTGGTGAGCTGTGCATTTGGCTCATCACTCAGCCTCTGTGGACCAGGGATCTGGTCCAGTGCCTGATTCATCACTGAAAATGACCGTGTGTGTTGTTGTGGGTGCCTGGCCTCTCCAAGCAGACTCTACTGCAGTTGTAATTGCAGCACACATATGAGGTTCTATTCCTGTGTGTGTCTGGGTTATTCAGAAGCAGGGTTACATACAGGATACCTTCCCTTCTGTCATCCGTAGCAGTGGTTGTTGGTTTTTTTTTCTTAATTTAAGTAGATTTTTGTTACAGTTTATATTTGTATTTCCATTTATAAACTTTTTTTATGTTTTTATGAATGCAAACAAATACTGTGAGTAAAATATGTGAACATTTGCGTGTGAGGAAAAAATGGTCTGATTTGTTGCACCATATTCATAGACACTGTGCATGTGATACGAGGTTGACCTTGTAATCTCGGGGACCCAGAGCTAAAGTCTGTATTTCCATTCTCCACTGCTGTCAATATCAACATGTGAAGAGGAAAGACCAGCTGTGCTACTACCTCAGGAATCCAATGGTCCATGAAACAATATTGGTCGTCCCTCTGCCTTCTCATCCAAACTTGTAGGAGATAATAGACGAGTTTTGGCTGATCAATAAACGAATAGTGAGCAGGAGAGTTGTAATAGCTATACAAGGAATTGCACTATTAAAGGGTTGTTGTGAAATAAGTTTACAAGCCATAGAATTAATGGGTTTTCAAAGAAATGCTGGATTTATTCTTGTAATTGAAAATTACTTTGAAACTGAATGAACAATTAACAATGCTGTTTGTATTGTTAAGGTAATGTTCAAGCAAGTATTGAACCTAAAAATTGCTGTAACAATAACACACCGTACCTTTTTTCTATTATTACTGTAGGAGTCACAACAGGGATCTACAGGACACAGCAATACAAGTAAGTACCAACTAATTTTCTGACTGCTTTGGGTGAAGGGTATGGCAATAGCTATGAAATACAAGTGGCTGGTAGGGTAAGGAACCAATAGCAGACTGGGACAGTGTAGAGACTCAGCAGCACATTTGTATGGCCAAATGTGGAGAACTGAACTGAAGAGTGACCATCAAACTGTCAGGTCTTCTGGTGGACTGGGAAGAACCATTTCATTATATAGATGAGAAAGACTGAAAGGCCAAAAGAGGGGCTTTTTTAGACAGCCAGAAAAGAGCTGACCTAGTTGTATGGCCAGATCCAGACTGCCATAAAATTCTGCAAGAAGACTTGTTACCATTTTTCTTTCATAGAAAACGATATATTTTGTGACTATTGCACAGTAATAAGCGACATAAATCCTGCCAAACTAACACCAGATAATGTCTCAAAGACCATATGGCCATGGGTCTTTTTGGCTAGCAGTGTGAGCAGGGAAATGATATATGCTTGTGTAGCTTCTGGTTGGGGCTTTTCAGTGGCCTCCAATTTACAAATCATGGTGCAGATCAGCAGCACTTCAGTTACATTTAGTTATGGTAAAAAACTTAGCAGCTGTATTGAAAGATTGAATTGTTCTGCTAAACATAGTATTAATCTTCTCCCCTGCCACCTCTGACTGTTGTTAATGTTGTCGTGCATATTAAAAATACATGATCCTACCCTGCTCTCAAAACAAAATCATCTCAACCAAAAGAAATATTTTGCTATCTTCCTGACCTGTCAGCCAGCACAGAGCCTGGTTTGCAAATTACAGGGCTGTGACTGAAGATGAAAAATGCCCTGAGCTGGTAGGCAGGGCTTTGAAAGTGGCTGGTCACCCACTGCATGAGGGAGAAGACATCCAGAGAGACAAGGCTAGGAGATGTAGGCTATTAAAATGGTGTGGCTTTTTGCTGGGGAAAGGTCAGCATGCAGAAGACAATGTTGTGAAGAAACATGCAGTGGTGTCACTTAATTGCTGGCATCCGTTTGATATTGCTGTGAGTCCAGCACTAAGGAAATAATAAAAGGCAAAGGGAGTGAGTTCTGTCAGGAAATAATGAATACAGTAATGAGAGAAGGAAGCACAAAAGGGCCATGATAGAGAGGGCTATGCAAACACATGCAGAGTCACAAGCATGACCAACACACCAGCTGAGCTGAAGGCTTTGTGATGACATCAGAGGCCACAGTGTTTGGCCAGCTTTGGTCTTAGTTTCATTCTGAGTATATCCTTCGTTCAACACTTGAATGTGATAGGTTATTCTGCAACTCTAATGAAACCTGCTTTCCTGTGGGTTAGGAAATCAGTTCTACCTTGTTACAACTTTCCTCCAGTCCTTACTCAAGTGATCTCCAGCCTCAGCTTACTTCCAATTCCCCCACCTGCCTTCCCACACCACAGTACCTCCACTTTCTTCTTGACTTCTCCTTCATCCTGCTCAGCAAAATCAGCATATATTTGCAGCTGGGCTGGCGCTGCATTTGGTACTGCCTGGATGATGGCAACCAAACCAAAGGACAGCTGAACCCATGCAGAAATGTATTCTTCATTGGTGGCAAAAGTTAAGGTTGCTGGCAGACACCAGACACTTCTAATGTTGAAGAGGGAATTTTACTACCTCTGAGACTAGCATCCATAAGGATTCATATAGAGGAGCTGGAGTATGAATTGAATAAGACACAGTTAGAATGAGACATAGACCTTACCTTAGAAGTGGTGGGTGGTCCCTGGCTGGACGTCAGGTGCCCAGCAAAGCTTCTCTGTCACTCCCCTTCTCAACTGGACATGGGAGAGAAAATAAAATGAAAGGCTCATGGGTCAAGATAAGGACAGGGAGAGACCACTCACCAGTTACTATCACTGTCAAAACAGGCTTGACTTGGGGAAATTAGTTTAATTCACTGCCAATCAAATCAGAGTACGCTAATGAGAAAACAAAAACAATTCTTAAAACATATTCTCTCCATCCCTCTCTTCTTCTCAGGCACAACTTCACTCCCGAGTTCACCTTCTCCCACCCAGCAGTGCAGGGGAATGGGGAATGGGGGTTGTGGTCAATTCATCACGTGTTGTCTCTGCCGCTCCTTCCTCCTTAGGCGACGACTCCTCACACTCTCCCCCTGCTCCAGCGTAGGTCCTTCCCATGGGTGCAGTCCTTCAGGAACAGACTGCTCCAGCGTGAGTCCCTTCCATGGAGTCACCAACCCTGCCAGCCAACCTGCTCCAGTGTGGGCTCCTCTCTCCACGGGGCCACCCATCCTCCCAGGAGCCTGCTCCATCACAGGCTTCCCATGGATAGCAACCTCCTTCAGGCATCCCCCTGCTCCAGCATGCAGTCCTCCATGGGCTGCAGGAGGATAGATACATCCTCACCATGGACTCTCATGGGCTGCAGGGGCACAGCCTGCCTCACCACGGGCTGCACCATGGGCTGCAGTGAAATCTCTGCTCTGGTGCCTGGTGCACTTCCTGCCCTCCTTCTGCACTGACCTGGTGCCTGCAGGGCTGTTTCTCTCACAACTTCTCACTCCTCTCTCCAGCTGCAGTTGCTGGGGTGGTTCTTTTTTTTTTGCTTCTTAAATGTGTTGTTCCATAGGCGCCTTGGCCAGCAGCGGGTCCATCTTGGCGTTGGCTGTATCAGACACCGGTGAAGCATCTGGCAGCTTCTCACTGTTGTCAGTAGGTGCACCCCTGTAGCTTCTTCCGCCTGCTACCGAAACCTTGCCATGCAAACCCAATACAGGATGTGAGAACTGCTAGAAAATGACTATGTGGGAAATAAATCTATGGTCTATGTACTGCATGATCCAAATGCACATCTTCAGGGTCCCAATTTGCTAGTTTAGCTAGTTGTTATTTCCCATTGCACAATTCCTTCTTTGGAGCGGCTCTAGAGCCTGTCATTTACAATGGTTTTACTCCAGCTGGAAACATTGTCTTTCTCATGGGTAACATTTGCATTTCTCTCTCATCCTTCCCCCACAAGGAAATCAAACCCCTAATGGCTGAAGTTATACTGCTTTGTCACAATAAATATTATTTATCCCTGTTACCCAGAAAGGGAAACTTGGCCTGCTTACGTTGAGTGATTCACCCAAATACCAACTCAGAGGAGAGAACTCCTTCTCTGGCTACCCATTATTCAGTGAGGAAATCCCACAGAAGTTCATTGGAAATTTACTTTGGAATGAAAGAAATCTGGACACATTTCCTCTGCTTGTATCTAAAAAGATTAGAAAGGGAGCTGTGTGAGGTGAGGTAGAAACTAGCAAAGAACTCCCAGCTCTATGGCTAAGGATCTGAGGACTGATTGTTTCTACCGTATGTTACTGGAGGCATGCGTATGCACACACACACCAACACACACCAACACACACGCATTTCAAGAGACATACACAGTGCTTAGCACATGAAATAAAGTGTGCTAAGAGCATTCCCATAATGGGGTGGGCAGCATACTGTTTGTCAATTCCCAAAAGACTGAAAAAAACCCAAAGGATGACACCAGTTTGCCCACAAGAAGAAGCCAGAGCTAGAAAGGATTTAGCAATTTAGCAAATGCCAGCCTCCCACAATGGTACCTGCATGCATTTGGCAGATTACATGGAACATGGAAAGCAAATCTTAGTCTGGCCACGAATGAGTGTGAAAAATACAAGTTGTACTGACAGGTAGTTCCGTTTTAAGCATGCTTATCCAAAAATCTTATCTGTAGTGTATCTGTGACATTCAGCTATGCTTAGTCTGTACACATTTTAAGAATTTCTATGATTCAGTCAAGTGAGAACAAAGTTGGTAAGAACTGATAAAGCATTAATGGCCAGATTTTCTACTCTGATAGGCCAGACTGCTGCGTTTTTACCATCTGTATAGGCTTCATCCTCTCTCTCCACACAGAAGTACGTTAAGTGATGATTAGCATAAAAGCAGCTGCAAATGCTTACTGTAGGGTAATTCATTAATATCCAGTTTGGCTAAATCATAGAGATTCCCTTTTCTCCTCACAGTACTTATGCCGTTTCCCTTGTTGCTGCATTAACATACATTGCTGAAAGTAGAACTGATGTGAACTCTGCTGGCAAAGCACTCAGGAATCCATATTCCCTCTCACACTCAAACAAACCAGTGTTCATGGTAATAATTCATCACTTATAAAAAGCCTAAGTTACGAACAGAAAGTCTTTGAATATATGCCAACTGTTACTGTTGGTTTCTTGTTCCAAATTACCATAATGCAGATGAGCTCCAGGGCTCCAGGAACCCTAAGGCTGACTAACGCATACTGTAGCAACAGCTTTCCAGCCAGCAAATTCATCTAGATATTCTTTCTGAGGTCTCTGCCAACAGTGCAAATTGACCTAGAGATTATGTATTCTGTCCTGTGTGGATGCCCCACTTGTGCCTAAATTCAGGTGCTTTTGGCTGTCCTACTACAGTAAGTGATTAACTTCCCTAGAAGTCCACAGAGAGGCATCCAGAGCTTACCCATCCTGTTCGCTAATGTTTAGGCACCTAAGTTGGGTGCTTTCTGGAGGCCCTTCCAGAGGGGAGCATGAGATCTAAAAGCACCATGCCAAGGTGTTTACAGAAGGTCATTGTCTAGAGTAAGTTCTTCAGTTTGTTTCTGTACAGCAGTAGAATGACGTTGGTAGCAAACCCCTGCCTCTTCTGAAGGCAACAGCAAATTTTCCAGAGCTACCTCTTACATCTGTTGCTGGCCCCCCAGTGCTGTGTGAAAACTGAGGATGAGGACTTCATCATCAGCAAATGGACTTTACATAATGCTTGTGTGCATGGAATAGGTTGAGGGCTGGCCCAAAACCCATTCAACTAGAGTCAATGAGCAGAAAATCAGATAACACCAAAACAGGCTGACTAAAATAAATACTACTCATTTTTTTTCAGAAGGCACAGGTGGATTTTGGCTTAGCAAAGCTCATTAAAAAGTAATGGAGAAAAACACATCCATCAGTAAACCAGTCACACTCAACCTCTATGCCTCCTTGTCTGCCAGGCAGCATAAACTCATGTGTAGACAGCTATTAGCATCCAGTGACACACAAGGGGAGCAGCAGCTGCACCGTCACTAGGTCTAGAATTCAAGTTCAAGGTGATTCAAGTAGAGTGGCATACCCTATACGTCCATGCTAGAGCTAAACAAAAACCTTGCACTGAAGGGCACTGGTTACTCAAAGAGCAATAATTACAGCAAACAACATAAGCCTTACATTTTTGGGGGGAGAGGGAGAAAGAGGGAGAAGGACATGGCTTGGTTTAGCAGAAGCAGTACCATCCCATCAGCTAGCAGCCTGCTCCCCCAGTGTCTGTGCTACGTAAGTAAGTTCTGTTGGCAAGTTATAAGAAAATGTGAAGAGGCATCCCTTGGGCCTCTGACACTTCTCATTCAGGTACCTGACTTCTCGTGGGGGTTGAGTGCTTAAGCCAAAATACGGCAAGGAGGGCTTCCCCAGCCCCCACTTACAGGAGCTGAAGATCAGATCCTCAATTTGTTAAAATGAATGTGAATAAAAACATACATTGGCAGAATTGCATCCTAATCAATGCCTTACTAGCTCCTGCTGATGCTGTTTTGCTTTGTATGAAATAATTACTGTTCCTGGAACAGGGTTTTAGAGCATTGTGCATGCTGGATGTGGTACACTCAATAGCAGACCTGTAGGGCCCTAGAGAAATCTTTTCCATTGCTCCAGGGTCTGCTGTCCCTGGTTAAAGTTTGTGTCCTCTAAGCAGTTGCTCTTGTGGAGTTTCCTTGCCTGACATTTCCAGAGTACATGTGGCAGTGACAAGAAAAGTCAAGTCAGGGTTGATTCCCTGCTTGCAAATGCTCCAGCAGTGCCCCTGCAGACCTGTGATTGCCCCAGCAGCAGTCTGCATGTGCGGCAAGAGTGGTCTGTTTTAGCAATGAATAAAGTGTTGATGTGTCACATCTAAGCAGTTTCCATATTGACCCATTTCTGATGTCATTTTCTTCTTCTCTTTCGAAGGGAAAAGTGATGTAGAACCAAAGAGTCCAGAGAAAAGCGCAACCCATACATCGTAAGTCACTTTTGTGTTTAAGATTGGAGAAGGCAGCTGTGTTTTTATCATATTTGTTGGGCAAAATGGAATTTGTTTGTTTTCATTAAAATAAAGCTCTTTCACTGATGTTTTTCTTAAAATGTCCTTTTAGATAATGGATAAACTTTAATTATTCCTAGAACTACTGCATGATAGTAAGTCAGAGATCTTTGCAAGTGACATGGCTCCATATCACACTGAATAGAGATGAGAGTATTTTTGTGGGTGTGTGAGGCTGGCCTTTACAACCTGACTTCAACATTACCTTAATGCTGCTGGAGTTTGTCACACTTGCTAAAAAACATTGTGTCACATATGCCTTTGATGTACTGATGTAATTTTAAAAGACTGCAGTCTGCAGCTTCACCTCTGAATTACTTGAAATCCAATTACAGTTATCTCTGGTCTCTCACAATTTTGTTGATGTTTTTGAATTAACAGAAGAAGTAGAGAAATAGATAGGAACAGGCACTTGTAATATATCAGTGTTCACCTTCACTCTAGTGCAACAATAGAAGCTTTTACCGTTTTTAACTCTAGTATACAAAGGACTGAATTGTTTTGCCAACATAAACCAGTCTATGAAACAGATGGGCTGCAAGCTGAAAAAAAAAAAGCATCATTCTCCCAAACTGAGCTAGATAAGTGAATTCCTTTAATAACTACCAGGCAGGAGCATTATGAATTCCTGCAAAACCATTCACCTTTTTAATCCCATTTGAGGGAGGGAATTCTTGTAACAGTCAGTCATGTGAATTTTAGAGTGCATCTTGCCTATAATTTATGTTTTCTGATTCCTGTTATTTAAATTCAGAGCATTATATCATGTAAATCTCTCAAGGTGTCACCATTTGTTACATGGCCAAAAGTAGTCACAGAAGGAGGTATAATAACAGTGATTTATTGTGGGATGTTTTGATTTCTGCTGCAAATGCGCATTAAAAATCTTCTGGAAATGAATCTAGAAAAAGATTTGACATGGTATAAGAAATGGCTTGTCCTGCAGATTGTGTTGTGGAATGTAATTACAGTATCTGAGCATATTTAGCCAAACTTATTAAATGAATTAAGCATTAGCAGCCTTATGACTTCTGATAGTATGATTGCTGGGAATGGTTAATAGAATGATTCCAATAATTATCATTTTTAAAAATAATATTGCAATAAAGACCAAAAGAAGAAGGGTTTTAATGCCATCTGGAGGTATTTGGGAGAAATGAACACATTTATTTTTGCTGATATTTAGCAATATGTAAAACATAAGCTATCCTCCAACGTGTTTTTTTCTAGTTAAATAGTATTTTATTGATGAGGGAAGTTCTTTCCTTCTCTTTCTTCTTCTCCTTTGGATACACCCCTATATGTTTATGGTTTTGGTCTGAGAGTATAGAACGTGTCATGTCGCGTGCTGTATTACATACAAAAGACTTCAGAATCTGGTTAGGTGTGAAAAGTTCTTTGCCTAACAAGATCTCTTAGTACAACCTTCTGAAACTGGGCTGTCTAGTAGATATAGTATATTCATAAAGCTTATCTTTAAATTGTTACTATATGTTACTATACAGTAAATATTGGTTCCCACAGCAAATTTTAGACAAGACTGGTTACCACTGCATTCAAGAAGGAGAAGCCCCTCTAGTTAGAAAAATTGTGTGGAAAGGGAGGGAGGAGAGAAAGGAGAAGAGGAAAGAAAGGGAACCAGCAAGTGCTGTGCCAAAAGAGGAGGAAGAAAATGAGAGGGATACATCTAAGAAGGAGGAAAAGGAACTGCAAATGCCATATCTTCAGAAAGAGATAAAAAAACTGAGAGCGGTGGAAGAGAAAGCCAGAGATCAAACACAGCAAATGAGAAAGAAGGGAAACTAATAGGAGCAAAAGCTGTTAGTAAACTAAAACATATGTATTGTTGAATAGAGGGCTGGCTACCTTAGTGTTACAGTGAAGTAAACTACTGTTGGTGTGTTATCCCACTTATATCCCAGTTCTCTTTCTGCTGCCTTCTGTTGTCCTTCCCTGTGTTTCTTCTCTTTTCCACGTTCTTCAAAACCAGTCTTTTATTCCTGGTTCTCAGGCAGTCGTGAATACAGACTGTTTCTGTTCTTTTGGGGACATAGCAGCTGGGAGCCAGTGGGCTTGTGAAAGGGACAGGTATGTGAGGGGGCACAAACAATGCCAGGGGTAAAAAGACTGCACCCTCTTGTGAGATGTTGCTCCCCTGAGAGTGCTGGAGGAGTCTGTTTGGCATCCCCTTGCAGGGGTGCTAAAAAGTGGGGACATTGCTGGAGGATAGGTGGCATGTTCAGGCCTGACCAGAAGAAACTGTGGCTTGGTTTCACTGTGAATCATTGTTTCCTTGTGAAAATGGAACAAACAGCAACAAAAAGACCACAAAGCAAGCCGTGTTTGCCTAGATAAAGATAATGGAAAACACAGGGAGGAGCAAACTAATGTTTCTTTCTTGCAAATGTCTTTTTTATTTTCGCCAGGCATGTTACGAGCCACACACCCAAGCCAAGCATATATGACTCAATGGCAGTTAATTCATCCCTGGTGAAGATTTACTACCTCCATGCAAACATTATTTATGCAGCTTCAAAGGACAGGTTGATTACCCTCCTGAATCAGGCATTGAGGCATTTGTGGACTAAGCATTTACATGAAGTTTCCCCTCAAGACCTTCCTCCTGCTCAGTATCCTCAGAACCAGACAGAACTCTGTGACCTGGAGCCCTGGGGGCCAAAGGTGCTACCCAGAACCTCTGAGAGTATAAAAACATAGAGTGCAGGACGTGTGGTGGTCTATTCAGAGGGGTTTGGGTACAGTAAATGCATCATTCTGAACTGTATTATGCATAGGGCTTTTTTCCTGTATGCATTAACTCCCTGGATACACTCAGTATGACATAGCTCTCCACTGGTAATAATATTAAGCATTAAGAAACTGGTATATATTAGATGATAAGCATTAATTGATGTAACATCCTAATGAGGCAGATAAATAAGGGCAGTTACTACAATGCTAGAGATAACTGAGATGGATGTAGGAGAAGGAGAATGATGCAAAAGTGGGGAGGAAGTCTGAGCAGAGCCCTTTTGCACGATATTCCTATGGCCTTCACTGTCTCAGCATGCACAATAATCATCTGAGCTGTCACTGAAGAACTGCAATAAAAGGTGCAAACAATACAAAGGTGTTAAGAGGTCCAGAGTCTTCCACAGTTGATTCATGTTCCTTGTAATTGAATGCTTTCAAAGTCATGAGAATTCTGGATTTGAAGGGGGGTTTTGTTGTACTCAATATGTATAGAGCTCTCTACGGGTCATGTGGTTACAGCTTCACCGAGCATTTCTGAACTTTTAGGGCTATTCAGAAATATCCAGCAATGTTTTGTTCTTTTGGTTTTGTGATAAAAAGTTCAGTTTTCAATGATCAGAAAACTTTCACAGATTTTATTTAAAACACTTTGTTTTCACTCAAATCCTTTCTCCCCTTGGTTTTACCAGTTAAAGTTTGGAGGGCTTCATTAAGGAGTGGTGAAGGGATGAAGGAAGAGTACTCTTTGGTTTTTTACTGTTTTCAGATACAGAATTTTAATCTTTCTTCGGCAAAACTGGATCCTTTCAGTAACACTGCAATTAAAATTTTAATTTTATAGATTAAAACTTTTAATTTTATAGAACATCTGTGCAAGGAAAAGTGAATGTGCACATGTTTCAGAGGACTTTGCGGTGCCATAGAAACTCATCTCCGAGCTTGGGGTCTGCAATCTTCCATCCTCCCACCTACAAAATATGACAATGTTTAAAAAAATGGCACAAATACACAAAGAGCTCAGCAAGACTCCCGCTTTTGGGATGACTTTTGACGTACTGGCCTGTTGCGATGTTCTTCAGTACTTTTTGTGTTTGTAAATGATTTCCAGTTCAGACTACCCAAGGTTAATCATGCCTGACTGTGATTCACTGCTATGCATTTACCCTGACATTTCTAGTGCACTTACTTAATGATATCAGGGCTGGCAACTAGATACCTTGGTGCTGGCTCTTTATTATCCCTCCCACAATTGCTCCCATGCTGAGCTGCTCCAGATTTTTACCTCCCTTTTTACAAGAGAATTAACCAAGGTTGAGGGAGGCTTTTATAATTTATGGCAGTTATGCAAGTTTTGTCCTCTGCTAACACTCTCTGAGAACTGCAGCGATCTCAGTTTATGTGTTTGCTTGTTTGTTTTTGCCAGGCAGAAATAGATGTTGGCTCGTTTTTCTTCCCTGCACTGGTCCCCAGCATCACTTGGAGAATAGTTTGCTCAGGGGGATCTTCATTAACAGCACTAAATTCAGCAGCTTCTAAGCTGTCCATTTGCAGACATTAGTGCTACAGTCTCTTGCCCATCCAGCAGCTGCTCATCGTTCTCATCGCCCTGATTCTCCTTGAGAAGGAAATAGAAAATAGGTACTCAGAGCAACATCACTGTTGTTCTTGCCTGTATTGGCATGAGTATTGCCTACTGGTTTCTCACTTTCTCTTCCTCGTTTCTGTCTTGCCCCTTGTACCTTCAGTGACTCATGGATAGTTACTCAATAGCCAGAAACTCCTGCTGGTTTCCCCTTCCACAGATGGGAAAACTGAGGCAGTGGGGTTATGAGGTGCCTCCACAGAACAGAGAGAACCAGTCTCAAATACAGGAGACAGCTCAAGTGCATGCTGACAACTCACCATCCAGCTCTTAGCCCCCAGGAAGCTTGGCCTTTCACATCTGGCTGACGTGTGGTCTTGACCTTAAGTCTCTGAGGCAGCAACTGCAACCTGATTAAGCATCAGAGTTGGAAGAGGAGCCTTAATCCCACCTCACTTCACTGAAAGGCCTTCTGCAACTTATTTAAAGTTAGCCTTGGCTTTCCCCCATCTAAAATAATAATTAGACCACCATGAAGACTACCTCATTAATATTTGTATAAAGTGTTGAAAAAATATAATGT